TTTTTTATGAATCAGTAACACGATGAACAGATTTTCACTAATATTGCTATTGCTGGCGCTAACACTACTGATGCTGTTATTATTTCTGCGGGTACTACTGCTGCTGCTGCTACTAATAAAACTGCTGCTGCTTCTACTACTTCGACGACTACTACTCCTAATTACACTACAGCTACTATTTTTGTTGCTGCTACTTCTGCTACCGCTGCTAGTACTACTACTGCTGCTACTACTACTAATACTACCACCAATACCAATACTACAATTACCAGCACTACTACAATTACAACCACTACCACCCCTACAATTTCTACCACCGTTACCACTACGGCAACTACTACTACTACTTCACACATGAACACACTCACACACACAGATGCACGCACGCACAGACAGTCAGACAAAACCCGATTCTAAAATACAGGATCCAAAAAACTATAACTGGCTTTTAATTGCTACAAATGCCATATTCCAGTTTTACCTTTCACGTCTGCTTTCCTGTTTTTGATTTTAATATATTTTATGAAACTTACACTCATTATCTTGCTCAGAGTAGGCGTTTCTAATTATGTAGGGGGCGAGGTGTGATCAGTTTGTATGTGTAAGCCTTAACAGGTAACGATCACACTGGATAGGGTATCGTGTAATGTTTTCCTCCTCGTCGCTACGCTGTTGAGAGAATGCGTGCGCAGCTTGCATTGATGTACTGGTAACTAGTAGCTTTCACACATTACAATTTATTTATGAGTGGCGTAAACAAGCAGTAAGCTTCTTTTTGGTATTTCAATACTCTCAACCCTTTCAGTTCCAGTCAACGCCCCAATGTCTGAATGAATTTACCTCTTGATTTCCCTCCAGTGCATAAGGCGCTCTCTTACTTTTATCATTTGGTCAGAACATGCTAGAGAAATCTGGCTTTACCTATTGGTAGCTATAAAAGGTTAGTTGCGTATCCTTTACATGACGTTGCAGAACCAACCCCAGCAGCTTCTGGCTGTTGTGTGGTTTCTCTAGGCAAATGTACGTCCAGTAGTTTGCCATTGCTTCTTGACGGTCGACCCCCTGATACCACTGTCGAAACCAACGCAAGGCGCATGGCCCGCAGCTGGGATCAAACCCGGCACCCCGGCATTACGAAGCGTTCGCATCGACTTAGCCACAGAGCCGACATTGGTAGCTATAACTATGCATATTGCCGCTTTAAAAGTAATGAATTATTTATACAGTATCAGGATTATCGTCCCGTTGGAATTCTATATAAAACCTTCTGGTTCTGAAAGCTGCGTATTTGTAATAAACAGTAAAAAACAAGAATAAACAGTAAATCATGGTTCTTCTGTGCAATCAATATTACATATGAATGATTAGACGCTGAAGACAAGTCACAATACATATTTCTGTATTTGCTTCCTGTCAATATTGAGTTGTGTATTTCGTCTGCTGTCGTGCTAAGTGCTTTGTGATGTTTCAATGTCATTATACAGCAAAGTATCAGTTTTTAACACATACTTCTGTTAGACTGAGAGGGGCTGGGCAGGGTAGAAACGGTTGAGAATGTGAGTGGTTTGTAGACAGAGACAGGTCAACAGAGGAAGGTCATCGAAAAAAGGTCAACAGCGGAAGATTATCGAGAAAGGTCAAAAGAGGAAGGTTATCGGGAAAGGTCAACAGAGAATAGTTAAAAAAAAAAGGAAGGTTATAACACACGAAGGTTAGCCGAAGATGGTTAACAGATCATCAGGTCAACTGAAGGAGGTAACTGAGGAAAGTTAAAAGAGGGAGGTCAACAGAAGGAAATTGGAGGGTCAGATCAACGCAGAATGGTAGACAGAGAAAGGTCAACAGAGTGAAAAATGTTGGATGACCGCTTCTTCTTTCTTTCTTTCTTTCTTTTTCTTTCTTTCCTTTTCTTTCTTTCTTTCTTTCTTTCTTTCTTTCTTTCTTTCTTTCTTTCTTTCTTTCTTTCTTTTTTCTTTTCTTTCTTTTTCTTTCTTTCTTTCTTTCTTTCTTTCTTTTCTTTCTTTCTTTCTTTCTTCTTTCTTTCTTTCTTTCTTTCTTTCTTTCTTTTTTTCTTTCTTTCTTTCTTTCTTTCTTTCTTTCTTTCTTTCTTTCTTTCTTTCTTTCTTTCTTTCTTTCTTTCTTTCTTTCTTTCTTTCTTTCTTTCTTTCTTTCTTTCTTTCTTTCTTTCTTTCTTTCTTTCTTTCTTTCTTTCTTTCTCTTTCTTTCTTTTTTTCTTTCTTTTTTTTTCTTTCTTTCTGTCACTGTCACCTGAGCTTTACAGTCTGTTTATCACAGCAAAGAAAGTTATGGTAACTGAGCCAATAAACAACTTGTCTCGAAAGCTGAAATATTTTTGGCCAATCAAGCGCTACAGCAAAGTGGGGAAAAAAATAAAAGTAGAAGGCAACAGCCAGGAAGGAAAAGAAGAAGCCGAACAGCATGTAGATGGGCACAGGATTCGATTATCGTGTAGACAGGCACAGGACCCGACCAACGTGTAGATGGGCACAGGACCCGACCAGCATGTAGATAGGCACATGATCTGACCAGCATGTAGATGGGCACAGGACCCGACCAGCATGTAGATAGGCACATGATCTGACCAGCATGTAGATGGGCACAGGATCTGACCAGCATGTAGATGGGCACAGGACCCGACCAGCATGTAGATGGGCACAGGACCCGACCAGCATGTAGATAGGCACAGGACCCGACCAGCATGTAGATGGGCACATGATCTGACCAGCATGTAGATGGGCACAGGATATGACCAGCATGTAGATAGGCACAGGACCCGACCAGCATGTAGATGGGCACAGGACCCGACCAGCATGTAGATAGGCACATGATCTGACCAGCATGTAGATGGGCACAGGATCTGACCAGCATGTAGATGGGCGCATGATCTGACCAGCATGTAGATGGGCACATGATCTGACCAGCATGTAGATGGGCACAGGATCTGACCAGCATGTAGATAGGCACAGGATCCAACCAGCGTGTAGATGGGCACATGATCTGACCAGCGTGTAGATGGGCACAGGATCCGAACAGCATGTAGATAGGCACAGGATCCGAACAGCATGTAGATAGGCACAGGATCCGACCAGTATGTAGATGGGCACAGGATCCGACCAGTATTAGATGGGCACAGGACCCGACCAGTATGTAGATGGGCACAGGATCCGACCAGTATGTAGATGGGCACAGGATCCGACCAGTATGTAGATGGGCACAGGATCCGACCAGTATGTAGATGGGCACAGGATCCGACCAGTATGTAGATGGGCACAGGATTCGACCAGTATGTAGATGGGCACAGGATCCGACCAGTATGTAGATGGGCACAGGATCCGACCAGTATGTAGATGGGCACAGGATCCGACCAGTATGTAGATAGGCACAGGATTCGACTAGCATGTAGATGGGCACAGGATATTAGTGACTTCTTGGGTATGAAAGTGCACCCGGCGGAAGAGCTGGCGAGCGACTGAATTTCAGGCAGACCGTGATGAAAGCAACGTTCTGCAAAGGACCTGCTACATGATGCCACGAGTGAGATTCGAACTCACGACTTTCAGATAGCTCTGGGTTGGTCATTATGAGACTAACGTGCTACCTACTGCGCTACCCAGGCTGCTAAGCTTGTTCTTTTATGACCAATTTCCTAAATTTAGTCTTCTCTGGTGACTCCTGCCGCCTTTCTCAGACATCGCATTTTCCATGGTTACTAATCCTCTTATCTGGGTTTTTGTTAGTGATCATGTCTGGTGCTGGCAAAATAAAGTGGGAATGAATATTATATGAGTGCGGCGTCCGTGGCTAAGGCGTTGCGAGTCGGACTCGTAAGCCAGCATACCGCGATCGAAACCCATGCAGGCTGCGTGGATTTTTGTCGTGGTATGGGACGTCGCAGGTCGACCCAGCCTAAAATGGGTACCAGGATGGGCTGTCCTGAGAAAGTAAAGGCAGCCGGCGTAATGCTGACCACATTACCCACAGAGTGCTGATGGTCTGTAAAAATATGGGACGCTCTGCCCATATGCCCGATGCGCCGAAATGCGTGAAAAGGGAACTTTACTTTACTTTACTTACATATAGATGCCCGAGAATATAGTTCTCATGCTTTCTTAGTGAGTCTATGTTTGTAGCCTAAGCGTTGTGTCATTCGGAGGTGCCTGGTTCGAGTTCGCTTTGCTCAAATTGGACATCAGATCTCATTGGCTAATTTCGACAATGATATGGAATGTGAACCTTTCATGGACCAAAGATGACTAGAGAACGTAAATCTGCTCAGTTAAAGAAACTTCAAGCAAAGAATACGTAACTAACTTTATGTCCTATAAGTGGTCTCAGGGCTTCTGCTATTTAATAATCATGGCACCTAGAGATGCTTCGGATGGACACAATGAAAACGAATTAGGTTTAGGTTTAGACGACAGATCAACATCATGGCACACGGGTAGTAACCCATAAGTGCTCCTTTCTACCTCTAACGTAAGCCTGTACCCAAAGAATCTCAGCGCAGTGCATGAACTTCGTAGCACCGGCGAGGATCCTGAAATAGTGTGGGTACATTTTTTAACTCTAAATTTTGCCAGGGCAGCCCCGTAAGACTACTTTTTTTTTCCATTCCTAACTGCCAAGACATTTTTGTATGTGCACAGCGATACATCCTGGCGTCCGATTTTACTACCAAGAAACCAGTGAATTTTACTATAAGTCCACGTGAAAAAAATCCGAGCCTTCACAGGTGCCTGTCCTCCAGCACCAGTTAAGGACGCCATGCCTTAAGACCACGCAGCCCCCGAAAAGAAAAATCGTAGTGTATATACAGTTTTACCTGTCGATCTAACTCCTGTTCTGATGTCTCACATTACACGTTTGTATATAAGTGCCAATCAGTTCTTGATCTAATGAAATGCATTATCCAACAGTAGAATCCCTGGAATATATTTACAAGATCCGCCGATGTGGTCGTATGAAGAACATCACAGATTCTAGACTTGCTGAACTAATGTGTTGTTGAGGAACTCCGGAGGTACGTTGTCGAAGTCAAAGATGGCGTTGCCAGCAGTAACGGTAATTCCCACTAAAATTGGGACAGCCACGACGTTCATTGCCAGCCCCGTCACAGCCTGCGGAGGAGAAGAGTCATCTATGTATCTAAGTTTACTTATATACTTTTACATAGGTTATAAGGAGCTGCCGTGATGAAGCGGCTAGACGCTGGCCTGCGAATTCGAAGGTCGTGGGTTTACATCCTCACAGAGCCGGACGTTGTACAAAAATCAACGAGGCTGCTCGGTAGATCCAGCCTTAAATGGGTACCAGGTACAAGTCTTGGGACGTAAAGGCGGATGGCGTGATGCTGATCACAGATTGGTCTATAAAATATGTCTAGCCCTATATGCCTAAAAAGACCTGAAGGCATGAAAAAGTGTCTTTTACCTTACAGAAATTATACGGTATAATAATTTAATTGACACATTCTGCCTGCTCGGTGTTTATAGAAAGAAGTAGAGAGAAAAGAAAGAATAATGGATGGAGAGCATTCGGAGGTCGCACTAAACCTCCCTCACTTGGATCTACACATCTGGAAATGGCGGAGTGGCAAGTAATGAAAGAGCTTTAATCCTATTGGCTGCAATCAAAGAGATGAAAAACTAGAAGCACAAAATAAATAGCTGTCGATAAAGATGGTTCTCAGTTTAAAAGCCATCGGTTGGTGACGTGTGAGAGTATAATAAGCCATCGTTAAAGAAGGTTGACAGTTTAAAAAATTAATCGTTTAAAAAGGTTAATAGTTTAAAAAGGCAATCGTTAAAGTAGGTTGACAGTTAAACAAAAGGGCAATCTTTAAAGAAAGTTCACAGTTAAAAACGGCTATCGTTAAAAAAAAAGGCAATCGTTAAAGAAAGTTGAGTGTTTAAAAAAAAAAGGCAATCGTGAAAGAAGGTTAACAGTAAAACAAACAGGTAATCGTTAAAGAAGGCTGACAGTTAAAGTGGGCAATCATTAAAGATGGTTGATAGTTAAAAGGGCAATCGTTAAAAAAAGGTTAACAGTTAAAAAATACAATCGTTAAACAAGGTTGACCGTTAAAAAATTGCAATCGTTAATGAAGTTTGATAGTTTAAAAAAAAAGCAATCTTTAAAAAAGGTTGACAGTTAAAAAAGGTAATCGATAAACAAAGTTGACAGGATAAAATGCAACCGTTAAAGAAGGGTGACAGTTAAAAAAAAAAAAAAAAAGGCAGTCATGAAAGAAGGGTGACAGTTGAAAAACAGGCAATCGTTAAAGAAGGTTGACAGTTAAAACAGGTAATAGTTAAGCAAGGTTGACAGGACAAAAGGTTATCGTTAAAGAAGTTTGACAGTTAAAATAGGCAATCGTTAACGATGGTTGACAGTTAAAAAAGCAATCGTTAAAAAAGGTTGACTGTTAAAAAATGCAATCTTTAAAGAAGGTTGACAGTTAAAAAAGGCAACCGTTAAAGAAGGTTGACAGTTAAAAAATTGCATTCGTTGAAGAAGTTTGACAGTTTAAAAAAAGCAATCGTTAAAAAAGGTTGACAGTTACAAAACAGAATATCGTTAAATAATGTTGACAGTCAAAAAAGGTAATCGATAAAGAAGGCTGACAGGATAAAATGCAACCGTTAAAGAAGGTTGACAGTTAAAAAAAAGAAGGCAGTCATGAAAGAAGGTTGACAGTTGAAAAACAGGCAATCGTTAAAGAAGGTTGACAGTTAAAATAGGTAATCGTTAAGCAAGGTTGGCAGGACAAAAGGTTATGATTAAAGAAGTCTGACAGTTAAAAAAGGTAATCGTGAAAGAAGTTTGACAGTTAAACTAGGCAATCGTTAAAGATGGTTGATAGTGAAAAAGGCAATCGTTAAAAAAGAATGACAGTTAAAAAAAGACAATCTGTAAACAAGGTTGACAGTAAAAAAATTCAATCTTTAGAGAAGGTTGACAGTTAAAAAAAGGCAACCGTTAAAGAAGGGGGACAGTTTAAAAAGGCAATCGTTAAACAAGGTTGGCCGTTAAAAAAGGCAATCGTTACAGAGGGTTGACAGCTTAAAAAGGCAATCGTTAAAAAGTGTTGACAGTTTTAAAAGGCAGTTATTAAAGAGGGTTCACTCTTCTAATTCGCACAGTCTGGGTAAGCCGCATAAGCCTTGTTTAAGTGCGTAATAATAATTTGTTGAAGGGCACAAGGTATAATAAAATCTTTCTAATAATGTACTATATGTATAGTCTAATATATAGAGGTGGTAAGTCCCGGACTCTTAAGTGCATAATAATAATAATTATAAAAATGCTTTGAGAGGCAAAATGTATCACAGTAACATATTTGTAATATTGTGATATGTAAAGATAAAAGCTTGAAAAGGTAACATTTGAAGATGACCCGGGGGGGGGGGGAAGGGGATAGTCCTCTATTTAGTTTACAGGGCTAAGCCCTCCACCACCCCCCCCCCACCCTTTTCTACACACACACACACACACACACATACACAGTCACTGGTGTGGGAGAGGGGGAAAGGGGCTTAAAGTACTTACAATCATAGGTTCTGGCGCCCTCCGAATATAAGTACAAGTCAACATCATCATCATGTGCCCTGTCATCTGGCGAAGGCGCTCATTCGTCTCCACAAATCCCTGGTTGCCTGGAACAGCTCTATTGATGAGATCCCTCCATGCCATCGTTGCAGCCCGTCCAGTATCATCTCTCGTGGTCTGCCTCTACCCCTTGTTCCACTTATCTATCCAGCTGTCACGTTTTCTCTAATGTCTCTCGTCTCATTATGTGGCCAAAGAACAGTGTTTTTCCCTTTCTAATTGTTGTACATAGAGATCAACTTTCATTAGAATCTTTCAAGCAATCATTGTTAATTACTCTGGCCGTCCAAGGTATTCGTAACTTTCATCTCAGAAACCACATCTCTGTTGTTTCTAAATTTCTGACATTCCCAGATTCGCTGCCATACAGCAGAACAGGTTCTATATAACATTTTAGCACCCTCTTTCTGACATTAAATGAGCGATTTATTGCATAAGATATTTAAGTTCGAGTCCAAGAAGCAAATCCAAGTTATTCAACGCGAAGCTACTTACCATGTCTATGACTCGGATCCGACCGTATGCGAACACAATGGCGTTGGGTGCCGTGGACACAGGCAGCATGAAGGCAAACGACGAGGCTAAAGTGGAGGGAAACATGTAGTAGAGCGGGTGTACTCCCGTGCTCAGGGCCTGCAGATGACAAAGTTTAAACGCTGTAAAATGGCGGATATATATCGAAAGGAATCTTTTGGAAAGGTTTAAAAAGTGCTTTTATAGACACTGTCTTTCCTTTCTTTTGACTGTCTGTGCTTCCATCGGTCCATCAGCCCTCTGTCTGTCCGTTCGTCAGGCCGTTCGTCCGTTCGTCTTTCTTTTTTTTTTATTCTTTTTTTTCTGTCTGTCTGTCTGTCTGTCTGTCTGTCTGTCTGTCTGTCTGTCTGTCTGTCTGTCTGTCTGTCTGTCTGTCTGTCTGTCTGTCTGTCTGTCTGTCTGTCTGTCTGTCTGTCTGTCTGTCTGTCTGTCTGTCTGTCTGTCTGTCTGTCTGTCTGCTTGTCTGTCTGTCTGTCTGTCTGTCTGTCTGTCTGTCTGTCTGTCTGTCTGTCTGTCTGTCTGTCTGTCTGTCTGTCTGTCTGTCTGTCTGTCTGTCTGTCTGTCTGTCTGTCTGTCTGTCTGTCTGTCTGTCTGTCTGTCTGTCTGTCTGTCTGTCTGTCTGTCTGTCTGTCTGTCTGTCTGTCTGTCTGTCTGTCTTTCTTTCTTTCTTTCTTTCTTTCTTTCTTTCTTTCTTTCTTTCTTTCTTTCTTTCTTTCTTTCTTTTATGTCACTACTGCACCCCTTTCCCAGTTATTTCTAAGCATTTATGTGTTTTAAAAAAAAAGAACACGAACCTGTGCCGTCTCCACAATGAAGGTTGGCTACAGTGTACCAGTGATGTCTTTATGAACATTATGTTGTGAGGCCACAATCTCTCCCACGGTAGGACGACCAATTGGCCGATGTCAACACACTTTTTTTTTTAAACCGTCCACATCGTGAAACCAACAGCAGCACTCAAGGATCATGAAATTGTCAATCACATTCTCTAAGACCAACGTCACAGAGCTCCACTGTTTTGTCACGTAGTCTGACTGTTCTTTCGTATTATCCTACCCCCAGATGACGTCACAGGACAGTCCAACATTTTAGAGGGTGGTAATACTAGGTTTCCTGCTTTCTGATGCTTTTAGCGACTCCAAAACATGTAGAACTTGAGACCTAAATCCAACCCACTTATGTCCCGCGAGAGAGTGCAGCCTAGGTCCCACGACTGCATGCAGCCTAGGTCCCACGACTGCATACAGCCTATCTACCACCACCTGAAGAATTAGACTGTACCTTGACCACAGTTGTACTGTGGATTCCCCCCTGTTTGGGGTCGGATATTAAGAAAGAACCAGCCTGACCGTTCAAAAGCAGTTACCAAAAAATACAACAACAACAACAGCGACAACAACAACAATAACATCGACAACGACGACAAAAACAACAAACATGAACCCAAAATATGGTTTTACCAGCTGCGCCAGAATTGGTAGGAAAAGCGTTGCCACAGCAACATTGGACATAATCTCAGTGGCGGCCGTAGTGATGTAGCAGACGAGAAAGAGAACCGCCAGTTTGTCCCAGTCGGTGAAAAACTGCAGCTGGTCGCCTATCCATGCCGAGAGACCGGAGATCTGTGTGGGGTCAGAGAAATTGGGAATTATGGGTAGGGTCATCATAATTATCATTATCATCATTACGAGTAGTAGTGGTGGTAGTAGTATCAGTAGTAATATTAGTTGTAGCAGTGGTAGTGGTGGTTGTAGTAGTAATCATAGTAGTAGTGGTGGTAGTGGTATTAGTAGTAGCAGTGGTAGTGGTGGTAGTAGTAGTAGTGGTAGTGGTGGTAGTAGTAGTAGTAGCAGTAGTAGTAGTAGTAGTAGTAGTAGTAGTAGTAGTAGTAGTAGTAGTAGTAGTAGTAGTAGTAGTAGTAGTAGTAGTAGCAGTGGTAGTGGTGGTAGTAGTAGTGTTATTAGTAGTGGTAGTAGTTGTAGTAGTGGTGGTGTACGTGATGGTAGCATTAGTAGTGGTTGTAGTAGTAGTAGTTGTGGTAGTAGTAGTGGTGGTGGTAGTAAAAGTAGTAATAAAGGTGGCAGTAGTAGTAGTAGTGCTGGTGATGGTGTTGGTAGTAGTAGAGGTAGTAGTATTAGTAGTAGCATTAATGATAATATTTTTAATGCGTGAGTTTTAAAAAATGCAATTATTTTAAATATATAATCAAAAATATAAAAACAGAACGTTTATAAATATTTAAAGACTCCCCAATCCTATTTGCAAGTTCCTCAGATAGGGTTAAGTTAAAAAAAAATGCAACTATTACAAAAGCACTCTTCCTAGTTTAAAACAGAATTAACTTTGATTACGAGAATAGGACGCCCATACATATACACATAGGGAAGTCAATGACTGAATTACTTTTAATGAAGCAGAATACTGAGAAAGCCATGACTCTTTAGTATGTTTTGATCAAATATACACTGTACTAGAACCCATTAATGTAAAGTAGGATTCATAGAAGAGCAAATCACATTAACACGTTGGGAGGGATTCAAACAGGTAATGTTCACACCCGCTCCTTGCTGCATGCGTAACGGTGCAAGTTTCCCTAGTTAAACAAAATGGAGGATGACTTGTCATCTGCTGGCCGGTTGGTTTCGCAGTGTATACAGATCACAGAGGAATAATGCCTGTTTGGATTACATGCAATCCAACAAGAATAGCGTTTTTGTTTTGTTTTGGTAATGCTCTATGTGAGTTCGGTGCTCCGTTATACGAAAAACTAGAATAGACCCCCTAACCCCACTTACAAGCAAGAGTCGACCTATTAGGGTTTTCATTTGAAGTGGGTATGCTTTTGCGTGAGAGGCAAAGGACCAACCGTCTGCACACAGATAAGCCAGATCGGTAAAACGGATGTGCAGGTAATTCAAATTTGGAAAAGGACTCAAGTCATAACCTGTAAGCCGGAGTTTAAAGTATGTAAATGTTAAACTGTAAAATTAAATTTGTTTGCCTCTCAGCACATTATTGTTATTATTATTGTTACTATTATTATTAAGCACTCCCATAAGGGCTAGACGGTTTCAGCCGCTTGCCTTCCACCACGTTTTTTGTGTGTCTATGCCCCTGAGGTAGAAGGAACTGGTTAGAAAGATGGTTGGCTAGTTGGCGGGTTGGTTGGCTGGTTGACGGGTTGGTTAGCTGGTTAACGGGTTGGTTGACTGGTTGACGAGTTGGTTGGCTGGTTGACGGGTTTGTTGACTTGTTGACGAGTTGGTTGGCTGGTTGACTGGTTGCTTGACTGGTTAATGGGTTGGTTGGCTGGTTGGTTGGCTGGTTGGTTGGCTGGTTGGTGGTTTGGTTCGCTGATCGACAGGTTGACGGGTTGGTTGCCTTGTTGACGGGATGGTTGGGTGGTTGGTTGGCTTGTTGACGGGTTGGTTGGCTGGTTGACGGTTTTGTTAACTGTTTTTTTCGGCTGATTGGCGGGTTGGTTGAGGGTTGGTTGGCTGGTTGGCGGGTTGGTTGACTGGTTGACGGGTTGCTTTGCTGTTTGGTAGGTTGGTTGGCTTGTTGATGGGTTATTTGGCTGGTTGACGAATTGACGGGTTGGTTGACTGTTTGGCTGGTTGGCGGGTTAGCTGGCTTGTTGACGGGTTGTGTGGTTGGTTGACGGATTGAGGGGTTGCCGGGTTGGTTGGCTGGTTGACGGGTTGGTTGGCTGGTTGACAGATTGTCGGGTTGGTTGGCTCGCTGAAAGGTTAGTTGGCTTGATGACGGGTTGGTTAGTTGATTGACGGGTTGGTATGTTGGTTTGCTGGTTGACGGGTTGGCGAGTCTGTTGGCTGGTTGGCGGTTTTTTGGCTGGTTGGCGGATTGGTTGACAGGTTGGTTGGCTGGTTGACTGGCTGGTTGACTGGTTGACGGGTTGGTTTGCTTTTTGACAGGTAGGTTGGGATGGTTGTTTTACTGGTTGACGGATTGGTTGGCTGGTTGGCAGGTTTTTAGCTGGTTGGCAGGTTGGTTGGCTTTTTGACGGATTAGTTGGCTGGTTGATTGGCTGACGGGTTAGTTGGCCTGTTGACGGGTTGGTTGGCTTGTTGACGTGTTGGTTGAGTGGTCGGTGTTAAGGTAAGGTGTTTGGCTGTTTCATTACTAGACAGGCAGAAATGGTGAATTATTCAACCTGACCAGAATTATCATAGACAATTGACCCTCAGACTCAAATAAATAAATTCAGTATATGGTGAAAGAAGATGCCCAAACCATTACCTCACATCCTTTGGACATGGAGTAGCCTCCACCAAGCAGCAGAAACAAGTGCCAGGGCATCTTCTCATGCACCACCTTCCAGTTGATCAAGGGCTTGATCTCCGGGGGACCAACTGCAAGACAACGATACTTCATCATCAGATACATCAGCGACACACTGTCCGCTCTGGAATATACGACCAGCTTTCAAGCTCTAAAGGTCTTTACGAAGCCAGAGATCGACTTTTATGTAATATGTCATATGGGAGTCGCCGTGGCGGAGCGGCTAGACGTTCGCCTGCAGGTCGGAAGGTCGTGGGTTTGCTGCTTGGCAAAGAAAGACTATGTTTCTTTTCAAACATGAACTGGGCTCCCAAGTCGGCCCAGCTTTGAGTGGGTACCGAGTGCAGTCTCGGGAAGTCAAGGCGGCCGGTGTCATGCTGACTACATCATCTATGTTGTGCTGATTGCTCTGTAAAATATAGATCTAGCCCCATATGCCCATACGCCTTGAGGTATGGAAAAGGGTCCTCTACTTTACTATACATACAAGGTCTGACAATAACCTAATGAGACTAACGTTATAAAAATAATAATAATAATCAACAGCTGAAGATGTAAACTGTGTTTATGATTCAAAGTAAGCGCCTTGTACATTGATACAGCAATTGGCACGGGAAAAAAAGCCAATCAAAATTTTTTTTCCTTTTTTCCCACGCCTTCAGGTGTATTAGGCATATATTGCTAAAGCTAGATTCTATAGACCAATCAGAACTTGGTAGGTACTGTGATCAATATCATGCTGGTCACCTTTGCTTCTCAAGACTTCACTTAGGACCCATTTAAAGCTAGGTTAACCTGGGAGCCATGGTCATTTAGGAAATTTAAAAAAAAAGAGAAGTTTGGAGCCATTCGAATTAGAACCCACGACCTTCGGAACGCAGGCGAGCGTCTAATTACTAAACACTGTAGCATAGACTGAGATGTGTGGAATTCCTAACAGATCTAATGGGGTCTTTTTAGCATGAACAACAAGCAGCAGTCAAAGCAGCTGAGGAAACATCAGACTTGTTTGAAGTGCAGAACTGTCATTTAAAGACGCGTGACAGTTGGAGAGAAGAGAAGTTTGGCTGGAATGAACTGTGACATAACACCTAGACAACAGAGCCAGTGTTGAACCTGCACGAGGGTGACTAAATGCGGAGGAGACACATTACATGAACCATCTGGAACTAATAGAGAGAAACCTTACCTATGACTGTGTTCCTAACACTGGCGACTCCTCCCTTGCCCCACTTGCTGGGGTGTGATGGGTCACTGTATGACTTCAGAAACGGCAGGGTGGAGGGGAGGGCAAACAACAGGATGCAGATAAGTATGGATGAAGCTCCGTCCTTGACCCTAGGGGAAGCCAGATGAAAGTTAAAAATTAACTTGGAAAATATTCAATAGTTTCGACTGTTAATTTTTAAAAATGTGGACACAAACAAAACATTGCATAATTTATTGCCTGATGTTTTTCGCTATATCTTATCCGGTCCCCAGGGAACTGCGTGATCTCGAGGAACGGTGTCAGCCTCGAGTGCCAGTGGTTCCGGGTTCAATCTCCAGTAAGGGTTGGGTTTTTTTTCACGTGGATAGTCTCTGGCTAGAGAGATCGGACGCTCTTATGCATTGATGCGCACGTAAAAAAATATCCCTTGCAGTTGGACATCCAAAAGAGTAGCCTAACGGCGTTGCCCAGGAAAACAATTA